ACTGGGTCATTAGTGGGTGCCTGGAAAGGTGCTTGATGTACAGTCGGTTCTTTCCTCACAATTAGGTGAGCACAAGGCCATCAATGAAACCAAGGTTAAACTCGGACAGAGGGGACACTGAGGTCGAGATGGTACAGGCGCCTTAGGAGGGGTAGAACACTTCTAAGGTGTGAAGGAATGGGTTCTTTGGTCAAGGATGGCCCCCATTACCGGTAACGGTAACGGTGCAGAGGGCTGTAAGCTGGAAACCTAATTTGATGATCTGTTATACCTATGACATAAGTGGTTGCGCCCCCGTTATGGTAAAAATTAATAGATCATTAGGCAATCAGCAGGAAACCAAAGCTCTTAGCAAGCAAGTAGCTACCCCAGAGACCGCACGCCCTCTAGCCTCAAAATTTGCCAAAAAGTCAAAAAATGCCAAAAAGCCTGATGATTCAGAACAAGCTTGGAATGAATGGTTAGCTGGAGTTATAGATGGCGATGGGTGCCTATTAGTAAGTAAGGCAGGATTTAAAAGTATCGAAATCACGATGGCTTTAGGAGATGAACATGCTCTTCAACAAATTAAACAAAAGTTAGGAGGTTCAGTGAAACTCAGATCAGGATCTAATTCGATACGCTACAGATTACATAATAAAGCAGGTATGTTAGATCTGATTAAACGTATTAATGGAAATATTCGACATTCTACTCGGGTGAAACAACTTAAAGCTGTATGCCAAATCTTAAACGTCCCTTTTATAGAACCTTCCCCTCTTAGTTATTATAATGGTTGGTTTGCGGGTTTTTTTGATGCCGATGGTAGTATAACTTACTCTTTTAAAAATCATTATCCTCAAATGAGTATAAGTGTTACTAACAAGAACGAAGGGGATGTAATTTTCTTTCAAAATATTTTGGGCGGGTATATTTATTATGACAAATCACAAAATGGTTATTATAAATGGAGCATTCAAGGGAAATCTGATATCTTAAATCTACTGAATTATTTTAAACTCTATCCTAGTCGTAGTCATAAGAGATTACGTCTTTTCTTAGTCCCTCAATTTTTTGAGTATGTTGAATTACGTTATTATTCTAAAGCTGTAGATAGCTTACAATATAAAGCTTGGGCAAAACTTGTTGAAAAATGGCAAATAAGAGGCTAAAGAGACGGTCCATCCTTAGTTTCTTTTTTACACAGGATACCGCTAACCGGTATGGGGAGGGGTTAAGAAATTAAGGATACGCATCCGGAGGTTCAGGATTTAGTGAGCTTCCTAATTTCACTGTGTGCTGGAAAATCTTCTCCTTTAGCTTGATCTACTCCTTTTACAGGCATGACATTCTGTCTCAAAAGTCCTCCTGCTCCTGCTGCCGTTGGCCAGCGATCAGAGAGTGATGTGTAGGACAGTTTCAGGGCCTGGAACTCGATCACTCAATAAAGGACTTAAGGTAGATACACAGTTAGTCACCTAACTGATGGGACTATATCTTACTCATATAAACTATAGAAGTTATTCAAATGATCCCAAATAAAGATAGTTCTATTATCGTTAATAGTAGACTTAAACTTGTTAATTCTATCTCTACCTTGTTGTGATTTATGTTCACCTTTATTAAACATCTTTACAACATCCGACCAAACTAAATAATCCAAATACTGACTGCTAAATAAAGGATAATCGGTTAAATAGTTCATTAATTGATAATTCGCATTAACACTAGTGGTTCTTACTCTAAACTGTGGAGTTTTAGTAGAAACTGTTGTTTCTTTTACTACTGAGCATAAAAAATCTGCTATTTTTGATAAGATACCAAACATATTACCACCACTTATATCTGATTGTCGCTCCACAAGCTCGAATTTACATTCTACTCTGGCAGGATATTTACCAGCTTCAGTGGCTCTAATTGAAAAATGCCCATCTGCATCGATGAACCCTGATAACCAACCATTAGAATTGATAGGACTATCATCTAAAGGGAGTTTTTGAATCTTTTCCTCTTTAGCATTTAAATGGTCTATTAATCTATATAATGCATTGATTTTAGGAGTTCTCATTAAACCATTAATTGATTTTACTACTAAAATCAAACCCTGATAATTACCAATCGTCAATGTATAGGCTCTTGAACCTTTTTTTTTTGATATAGAACCACACCCAAGTGTTTTTTGAATGATTAAAGCTAATGGTACATCTTTTGCATTAAAAGTGATTTGAATTGAAGGATATTTCATTCTACCCTTATTATCCCTTTCGGTTAAAGGAGTTATTATGGAACCATCTCCTTCAATTAGACCCGCTAAATAAGAAGCAAATTTTGCATGATAATTTGGTCTACATGGGACCAAGGGTAATGAAAACATCATATAGTACATGAGCTCCGGCGTATAGTCTCTGAGGATTCCAAATACCCCTGATAATTGGTTTCCTGCTGATTGACTCAAATTCATTATGGAGTTTTCCCAGCATATAGCCGAATTTAAAGCGGGCGCAATTAAAAGTCCACCCGCAAGCACTGGTAAGGATAATAACAACAGAACGGCTGTCACCAACACAGCCCATGCGAACAGGGGCATTCGGTGTAATAACATACCCGGACACCGCATATTTAAGATGGTCGTAATGAAGTTCATACTACCTAGCATAGAAGATATCGAAGCCCCAAACAGTATAAGAAATTGATGGTCAGTTCACTTACTTTCTTTAGCCTTAAGTCCCTTGGACAGGATAGCAGAGAGAGCAAGGCCGAGGATTTTAAAGAGCGAGGTCTTCGAGATGGTCCCACGTAAAAGAGTTGTTGTCAGAACTCATTGATTCCTTCAAAGATTGAAGCTCTATTGCGGATGCAGTAGATTTATAGTTTTGGCAGAGAACTCATTCATGAATTCTGTTAAACCCAACAACGGCGTGCCTTTTGTAAGAAAACAGAGGGAAGCGTGTAAGATAAGCTATTAATAAACCTTTGGATTCCTTAGTATCTGTTTTAACTTGATAACCTATTTCTTATAATTCTTCTTGGTACGCTCAAACAATGTAACTTTAGAACATAACAAGGCAGCTATCTGTTGAAGAACAGGGAAATAGGATAACCCCACGAAGGACTCTCTATGATACTCCTGTCTTTGTGTGATTTTCATATAGTATACGAGTCCTATGGGAAACCCTGCAGAATTCAGCTTAAAGTTGAAATAGAATGTTGCGCCCGCCGGTGCCGGGCCTGATAAGGGTACGGCTCCTGCTCCTGCGGTCGTCCAACCCGTTGGGTCAGACCGCAGGGTCGTCCAACCCGTTGGGTCAGACCGCAGCCGGCAGTCCAAAAATCCCGAAAGCCAACTGTTTGAGTAAAGCGGAGTTTGGTCCAGACCTAGCAAAGGAATGGTATTATCTTGTAAACGGTAAGTGTTAAACCATATAATAGCGCGATGAACTGCCTCGATTTTAGGCTCCTCATTTTTCCATTAATAAGTCTTATAACCTTTTCTACGGTTTTCGTGGCCTTGATTTGTAAGGTAACGCTATTCCCCTTCCGGTTCAAAATAGTCCCTCCCGGCAGCAGGCGAGCTTTCAGAAAAGTCAAGTGTAGACCAGGGAGAAACAAACTCGAACTCTTGTCTTATACTATTTGACTTCGGACTATCTCTTGATCCTTAGACCTTTCACGTATAGTCTCTGAGGTTCCTCAACAAGTTCAGCAGAGTGTGTGGACCGAAGACCACCACAAAGTGTTTAATTTTGGAGTTACCTGCTGATTGTCCTTGTCTCCTTTAGATTGTCAGATCCCCTTAAGGGTGTCTACCAAAGGAAAGGATTTCCCAGCATATAGTGAAATTCAAGAAAAGTGTTGTTTTCCCAGGGCAGTTTAATACCGGCTAGGTGTAGGCTGAAGATAGCTAGGTCCACCGATCCTCCAGAGTGAGACTGTATGCTTGCCAGGGGTGGGTATCTTTTATGTTAGGCAGCCTCGTCTCCTGGCTCCTGCGGCCTGTCGGCTCCGATCCAACCCGTTGGGTCAGGCCGCAGCGCATCAGGCCAGCCAGGTAAATTTAGACCTCACTACGGACCAGCAGAGTATCGCTGCACGCACCATGTTTCCATGATGAACGGACTATACCTTCATCCATCTTTCTTACTGTCGGCGGAATCCCAGAGAGATTGGGAGGCTCTGACCCGGCCGGTGCCGGGCCTGATAAGGGTACGGCCCGGCAGCAATTTGCGCAGAAGACTCTGAACGCGCTCTAACTCAGAGAAATCCCCCTTGTGCCTCTGACTTTTGGGGGAACTTTAAGACTCCGTGATAGGGGAAACGCACTGATGCTTACTGTAACTGTGTCTAATAAATCTGCCCTGCTAATTCTAATTAATTATTTGACTCACTTCCCCTTATTCTCATCCAAACGCCTTAATTACTTAGCTTGGAAGGAAAGCTACTACATGACCCTAAGGCGGGAATATTTAACAGCTGAAGGATTTCTTAAAATCAAAAAGATCAAGGATTCTATGAATAGCCGCCGGACAGAGTTTAATTGGGACCACCTTACTGAGAAAGAATTCTATCAATAGTATTCGCTCTTACTTTAAGAGAGTAGGGCCCTTCTAAGGATATATGGCAGGAAGGGTGAGGACTGTAAGCATTAGCCAATGTCAAAACATGGCTCGGCAATTACAATGTTACTTACAGACCGAAACTTCAACACGTGCTTCTATGAGCCTGCGGGAGGGGGAGACCTATTACTTTACCAGCATCTTTTCTTTAATCCTATACCTACTTACTTACAGGTAGCAATACCGGCGCCGATAATTGGGTGTAATGTATCAAAATTAGAGAGTGATGACCCTGAGGAGTTCAATTCGCCGAATTCTTTTGATTTTACTCTATTTAAGGAAAATTACAATCATTATTTGAATGGTTCAAGGGAAATCCCTTCTGAGGATTTCTTAAGTTGGCTGGTAGGATTTACTGAAGGTGACGGTAGCTTTGTCATTACTAATAGAAAAGAATTACAGTTTGTAATTACTCAAGGTAGTGATGATGAACAAGTTCTTCATATGATCTGTGATACATTAGGTTTTGGTAAAGTAATTAAACAAGGTAAACGAACCTCTAGGTTTATTGTACAAGACAAAAGAGGATTAGAACTTATTGTTTCTTTATTTAATGGGAATCTTATTCTTCCTACTAGACAACGTCAATTCATTGAATTCATTAAGGCCTATAACTCTAAGGCTAATAATGGTAAGATTAAAGTATCTGTAATTACTCCTATTCAATCTACTATTCTTCCTAGTTTATCAGATGGATGGTTATCAGGATTTAGTGATTCCGAAGGGTGTTTCACTGTTTCTTTTTTATCAAATTCGAAAGCATTTAGAATACGATATTTAGTTAGCCAAAAAGGGGATATTAATTTACCTATTTTAAGTCATTTCATTTTATTATTGAAGGCTGGTTCTATTGAAGCTCATTCTCAAAAGAGTCATTTTTCTTTCATTATTAATGGGGAAAAAGCCTGTTATAACGTATATCCTTACTTTGATAATTATATTCTGAAAACTAAGAAATTCAATAGTTATATTCTGTGGAAAGAAATTCATAATAGAATTTCTAAAAGAGAACATCTTGATCTAAAATTGAGAGAGGAATTAGTTCTTCTTGCTACCCAAGTAAATAAAGTAAGGCGAAAAAGTAAGT